GACGGGAATAGGCACGAGTGTCCTGCTCAGAGCCTGCTGGGGGAGGCCACGTATTCAAAGCCTCAGTGCTGGCCATGATGAGACATTTGGATTGATATGACTCGAGTTCAAAAAATCCCAAACTCACCATGCCAATGCAGTTAGCAGCTGTAGCAGCTTCTGCGGAGTAAGAGCAGGGTGAGGAAGGGCCAGCAGAGGAGCCAGGAAGCCCAGTGATGCTGAGGTTGGGCATCCTCAGGGTGAGGACTCCCAAAACACAAGGGTGTATTTGCATGGGACAGTTGTAGAAACCAGGTAAAATCAGGCCCAGTACTGTGAGGCAAGGTGTGGAGGCCCTGGTGGTGTGCTTGGCTTTCACCTCATTTGGGAGGTATTGCGAGTCAAAACCGACCATGACAACACACAACATCCATACGTACCTGGGGCAGCCTGGGGCAGTCGTGTCTCTCTGAGTCACCTCCCAGCACTTTGGGGGTTTCTCCAGTGCTTGGAGGAGGGGAAGGAGCCAGCTCATGTTCTTTGCTCCCAGTCACGTGGGTTAGACAGAGGTGATGGAAAAAGTGACCCATAAACACCCAAAAGAAACCCCTGAGCAACCTCATGGGGAGCAGCACTGCTGCCTTTGAGCATCTGTGGTGACAGTACTTGGCCCCAAGCCCTCCAAACATAAACCATGTGCCCTCTGAAACATGCAGCATGCTGAGCTGCCCTCCCACCTGGCTGCAGTCATGACAAGATGAGGAGCAAGCACTGATAAGTTTGCCAGAGGGCAGAGAAGAACCGGCTCTCTGTGATGGATATGAGCTCACACTGCCAATAGCAGCAGGTCCTTCAAAGGAAATTCAAGCCATGCCCAACAGCCCCTGCAGCCCCAAGCCAGGGCATCCACCCCAGAGAGGCTGGTAGAGGCTGGTTCTGAATCTGTATTTTGTAGGATTTGTTGTGGGTTGTTTGTTTTTCTTGTTCTGTTTTGTTGGTTTTGTTTGTTTGTTTGTTTTTGTCCAGAGAGGGAGCAGGAGATTGGGAAATGATATGGGAAAAGGGTTTTTAAAAAAACTGTTTGGGTGCTTTCAAATATGGAGTGTCATGGCTGGAGAAGAGAAGGCTCTGGGGAGAGCTGAGAGTGGCCTGTCAGTATCTGAAGGGGCTGTAAGAAAGGAGGGGACAGGCTTTATAGCAAGGTCTGCTGTGATAACATGAGGAGAAGTGGTTTCCAAAGATAAGAGGGGAGATTTAGACTGGATATAAGGAGGAAGTTTTTTTCCGTAAGGGTGGTGAGGCTCTGCACAGAGAGGCGGTGATGCCCCATCCCTGCAGTCAGCGAAGATCAGGCTGTTGGGACTCTGAAGCCCTGCAAATACCCCGAACCCAGCATAGCTCCACAGTGTGCACAGCGTTGGCCATCCCTGTGCTGTGTCTGATTTACATCAGCTCTGGAGAGCCAAACAGGAACTGCCCCACAGAGGTCTGCAGCCCTGAGCAGGGTCTGCAACATATCAGCCTGATGAGACACAAATGAGTGAATCTCCCAGGGCTTTCTTTCCATTAACCACTGCAGTTATTTTAGGAGCGCAGCACAACAGGGAGTGCGTTGGCAGGGGCCAATCTGATCCAGGAAGAAAATAAATACGTTTTTTTCCTACCAAAAAAAAAAAAAAAAAAAAAAAGCCACCAAAAATGACCCAACACTGTAGCTTGATTGGAAAAAGGCTGGGTTGTGTTTTTCTGTTTTCTGTTTTCCTTTAGCTGAGCACCCGTCCAACTCTCTGGAGCATTTTAAGGTTTTCCAGAAAACGAAAAGCAGCCGCCAGAGCTAAAAGTGGCAAAGGCACCAAACGTTTCCAAAAGCCACAGCTGGAAATAGCTGAGCGCACGTTCCAGCCCCAAGAAGCACATTCCTCACCTGGCCCATCACCACCGGAGCTGTGTCATGGGAGGAACGGGGGAGGATTCTGCCCATCTCTGCGTCGAAGGAAGATGAAGCACTGATCAGGATCCTCATGAAGCTGTGGGCTGGCAGAACTTTGGGATGCTGGTTTGGGAGCAGAGCAGATGGGGCCCCGTGCAGCAATGGGTTTGAAGCTGGGGTGCTTGGAGGAAGCAGTGGGGATCAGTCTCAGACCAAACCAAGAAGAACCTTTGGGTCTTTCCTGTCTGACCCCAATGTCTGCTGCTTTCCCTGAGCTCTATTTGAAATGTGGCCATGATCACTGAGTCACAGAATCATCAAATCATTAAGGCTTGAAAAGACCTTCAAGATCATCCAGCCCAACCCATCCATCTACCACCAGCACTGCCACTAAACCATGCTCCTAAGTACCACATCTCCACATTTCTTGAACACTCCCAGGGATGAAGGCGACGTTTGTCTGAAGACAAATCTTGTGGCAAAGCTTCAGCATTGTCTTGATCCCACCCAACGCCCAGGGAGCATCCACCAGATAGGAAACCACACCGGGAGGCTTTGTCGGTGTGTGATACCCCTGCATGTCCTACAGTGAGAACTGGATTTGACAGCTCTTACCTTTATATTGATACGTTTCCCAGAGAGCTGTGGCTGCACCATGCCTGGAGGAGCCCAAGGCCATGGTTGGGACCCTGGACTGCCTGACCTGATGGGGGACACCCAGCCCATGGCAGGGGTTGGAGCTCAATGTTCTTTAAGGTCCCTTCCAACCTAAGCCATTCCATGATTCTATGATCCTGGAGGCTGAGAGCCCATTTGTGCAGGCCAAGATGCAGGAGGAAGTGGACGGGGGCACCAGGGCGTGCAGTCAGAGTGAAGAGGTGGAGATCTGCATGCTCTGAGCAAGGAGAGTGTGTCTGAATGAGGTTACTCCATTTCCAGCAAACATTAATCCCTCCAAAATGCTCCTCTGCAGAGCAGCCAGTGACGCTGAAGCCTATGTGGCTGCAGTGATGAACCAGCAGGTCTAAGATGAGACCCCTCTGAATCTTCAAGCAGCGGCCCTGAAGCTGCTCCTCAGCCTCATCACTGCATGGAAGGGAAAGAGGAGAGTAAAGAGATTGCCTCATGCAGTATCAGTCAGTAACCACCTCAAAGCCTCCGCGCATCCTGAAAAATACCTGCATGACCCAGAACATCATCCAGATTTACTGTGAACACACTGGTTTGACCATCAGCTGGTGGGAAGCATATGCAGAGTGATGGTGATGAGTGTTCCTGTGAAACAACATCCCCAACAAGCAGGCACCTGGCAGCAGATGAGTGCTGGTGCAGCAGAACTCACTACGCTCGCTGCCTGAGTCAATTCCTGGGCTGTAATGAGGCTGCAGTAATTAGAGTGTCCATAATTCTCATTTAATTAATACTCTGCTAGTTCTTCAGGAACTACTACTTTATGGCTTAGCCATAAAAGTTGACATTCTGTTGAAATGTGATTTGTGAGGTCTTCCATTCTACTTCCTTCCATTCTATTTGTTGTAGGAAGGATTAGCTGCATTAACTTATCAGACTTCCTACCTGTAACAACATTTTTGTTCCTTGAAAAATAATCTAGTCAATTAATATCAATTACTTGTGTTCAAAAACAGATTAAATGAAATGTGTTGGGCAATATTTGCAAGAGCCACCCAGGATCCCCATCCCATGTCTGGTCCCTGCACAGGGTGCTGCTCAGGCTTTAGAACTGTAGAATCATTAAAGTTGGAAAGACCACTGAGATCACATAGTCCAACCCCAACCCATCTCCACCATCCCCACTGACCACGTCCCTCAGTGCCACATCTCTCCTCTTCTTGAACACCTCCAGGGATGGTGACTCCTACACCCCCTGTGCCAATACCTCATTACTCTGAGAATAAATTTTTCCAAATATCCAACCTAAACCTCCCCTGGCACAACTTAAGGCTAGATGGTGTCAAAAATGATTTTAAAAATTAGTACTGAAAAATAGAGTGAGGATAGAAATTTTTGAGTCATGTCCTATGGAGGTGAGCTCTCCCCACCAATGGACAGGGCAGAGACATCACCTTGTGCTCCATGTCATAACCCACAGCCCAACGCAGCCCAATTGGCAGTCCAATTTTTGGCACTCTGTTCTTGTATTTTACCCAGAGCCGAACGGCTTCAGAGTTGGCCAAAGGGCAAAAGGAAGGAGATCTTCCCTTGGCTCGGTCTCGTGGGGACGTAGGCCTTCTGCACCTCCATCACATGTCATGGAAGACACCACCCATGTCCACCAGCAAAGTGAGGGGCAGACTCCTTGTTGTGCTGGGTTTGTCTGCAGTTCAACCCTCCTCAGACCAGGAAAACCATCAACACCCATCAGGTCAGCCATGAATTTGTCTGGCCAAGTCTTCACTACATCCTGCGGTAGAGACTCCTGTATCTTTGGAGACCTCTATTTTTTCCTGATGTCCAACCTGAAGGCCTGAAATTTGTTATACCTTCTGGCTGTTGCCGCTTATTTTGTCACCTGGTGCTACCAACAAGATTTCAGTTCCATCACTTTTGTAATTATCCTTCCCAAATCAGTGTTGCCTCCTTGCCCCCAGACTAGATCAGCTCTTCTCTATCTGTCCACATAGGTCCCGTGCCCCAGATCTATGCTCATCTCAGTAGGAACCTCTCTGGCTTTCCACATCCTTCTTGGAGCTGGCAGGACAAAAAATCAGACACACCAGTCCAAACACCTGGGGACAAGCACTGGAGCTGCATCAAAGAGCAGACAAGTGTTTGTTCTGCTTTGTCGATCAGCTTCACAGCGCGCCCGTTTGCTGCAGAGCTGGGCTGGGTTTGTCTGACCGGTCACCACCGTGCCTGGTGCCATGTGCAGGAGGTTTCACCCACTTTTCTTTGTCTAGAAATGCTGCAAAGCATTAAGGAGAACAGAGCTGCTGCACCAATAGACTGACGCACAGCCTACGTGAAACTTTCCATTAGAAACACGTGCATGCTTCCAAAATAATTACCCAATTAGATCAGGAAGGGACAAGAAATGACTTACACATGGTTCCCACATAAATGCTCCATCCCTGGTCCCCACCTGCTCCGGCCTGGCCCTTCCCCCTCTCCCACCTTCCTCTTCCTCTGCCAAAGGATGAAAGCTTGGGACTGAGGGAAGGGGGCTGGATGTTTGCAAGCTGGGGATCCCACTTGTCACCTCCAGCTTTCCCCATGCATAGCTCAGTGGTTGCTGGAGTGGGGCAGGGATGTTGGCGGTGAATCACCCTGTGAAGAAGATCCTCCCCATGCCACAGGGCTGCTCAGCTACAAAGAGAAGTGTACTTCACCCTTCTTTCAGCCTCCCCAGCGCCGCCAGGAGAGCTGAGAGTTGGCGTTGTTGGCTTTCCTCCCCCAGCAGCGGGGAATGTGTGAGCTGGACAGGCTGAGTAAAAATGACCTAATGCAGAAAAGAATCAGAGAATGAGCAATGAGAGAGAGGGTTATAACAATGCTTCCCGTATGAGTTAGCAGCACCCAGGGGACTCCCACAGCCGCTGGATTTCCTGTCCTGGCAGCAGCCCAGCCTGGCTTACTTTGCTTCCTTGACAGACAGCATCTGAGTCTGTTATTTTTACTTCAGAAGTGTGTTATTTTCTCTTTTATTTGCTCCCCAGAATTTCTGCAGGAGCAACACAACGAATGCCAGACCTGGAGCTCAGCAGCATTTGTCTTCCCAGCCCCAAGGCAAGGACATACGCCTGGTGGGCATCACTGCTTGCTGCTCCTCTGGGCAGGACAAAGTCCCACAAAGGACAGCACTGAGCCCCCCAGGGTCACAGCTGGTAAGGACACAACCACTTCAATGCATCCCTGCACGCCCCCCAACCCAGCAGAAGCAAAAATCCCAGGGCAAACCCAGACCGACTCCATTGCCATGCGGGCAATCAAAGACCAGGTGCCCCCACAGCAGATCCCCAGTCACCTTCCAGGGAGATCAGTTACCCAAGAAAGAGGAATTTGATGTGGTCTCCACCCACCTATATCGCTTGTTGAGCACAGCTAAGTGGCTCGCACAGAAGGTCAGCTGTTTTGCCGGGGCAGGGGAATTCTCGTGTCTGCAGATTCAATATCTAGCTGCTGAGTTATGTTTAGTCTGTGGCTGTAAAGTAGCCTTGTTTCTATTCTGAGAATATTTGTCTAATCGGGGGTCCAAGGAATTATTCTGCTCAGTAGAAATCTATGTTTATTTGGTTAAGTTCATGCTCCAGGATGGGCGCCTTGGAGAAGCCCAAGAAAGGCTGAGCAGTGCTGGAGCATCCTGGGACACAGCACGCCTGTAAGGAAGGGAAGCGCTCCACTGATTCTGCACAAGAAAGAGAAGGGCTCCATTCTCCCAGCTGTGGGCAGCTCTGAAGTAGGGCTCACGTGCAACCTGGCACTGCTTAGCACAAAACATTCCTCGTTCCCAGGTGCTGGGCTGCTCCTTTGGTGCTGCTGGGCAGACACACAGCTTGCTGCTTTCTCCCAGTAAGCCTCCATCCGCCACACACTCATCAGCCTACAGTATTTTCAGTTTCTATCTTCAGAGCTTCATTCATGGATCACAGGTGACCCCAACACCCTTCTCTGGAGGCCTCAGCTGATGAGGCACTGAGCTGCGGGGTGTTTGAAGGGCGAGGATACATCACCTACAACAGGTAAACCTGATTTCAGTTCACCCCAGCCTTCTCATCCCTAACGGTGTGGGGAAGACATAGTGATAAACCCATGATTTCATGACATTTTCATCAGCCATCATCACCTCTTTCACCCATGCAGTCAGCACACGTTTTTGAACCCAACAAGATGATTGCTCCCATTTTCCCACTGAAATCATTTCCCCATGGCCCTTTGCCTCGTTGCTGTCTTTGTCCCAGTGAGCTCCACCCCACCAAGGTGCCGAGGGCAGATTTCCCCCTATTTGTACACCACAAACACAGCTGAGTTGTGACTACCAGCAACTGAGCAACCACAGGTTTTATCTCCAAGATAAATCCCTGCTATCTGTTGAGATAAAGCCTGCTACAGCATCCCCTCATTTGGGGAGGGAGCAGCTTCCCCATTGGGAATTTGCCTACAGCAGCAATGTCCACAGAACCCACAGTTGGTTGTGTGTTGGGCACTGGCAATAGGATTTTCCTCCCCATGGCCATCCCCAACAAGGAGACCTCCATAACAGCCCCATCCATGAGCTGACGTCCCCCATTGCATCCCCACCAGCTGCTCCAGGTTTCCCACATCCCTCATTACCAGGGCATGAAGCCTTGGGGCGATGGCACAAGGACAAAGCTGAAGCTGCAGTGTTACCATAGGGTCTTCTGAGATGCATCCTTCCACCACGGCAAGCACAGGGCAGTGCCATTTCCAGGAGAACACACACCTGATATCTCCACCTCTTACCCCAGCCCAGCTTCTCCCAGAGATCAGTGCATCTCTGAAGCATGTGGGGACAGTGTTTGCAGAGTGACTCACGCCAACCTGACGTGCTGGTAATAAATTCTATTACAGCAATAACCAAACTTCTACTGCTATTGCAGGGCTATTTCTGTCTTCACCAGGGAGTGCTCCCAGGTGTTCACATCTCCGTCTTTTGCACACTGTCACCTCTGTCCTCGCTGTGACTGCCTGAGGCAGCTGGGAGTTGATGATGTGAACCTTGGCACCTGGCCCCTGCCCCACGTGTCCTAGTGCTGCCCCAGCCCTCGCTGCCCAGCCTGAGGGATGGGCTCCCATCCAGCACTCAACCTATGGGGATGTGACACTGGGTGCTCCTGGGCATCACCCAGCCACAGGAAGGGATGTGCATGGCACATGGCTTCCTTGGCAGCAAGAAGGCACTTTAAGGTTCCACAAAATGCCTCACAGAGACCCATGAAGCCCAGGAGGAAGAAGAGGATATGAAGGCTTTTGGGATGGGGAGGAAGAGAAGGTCCCGTTTGGAGGTACCTTTGCCCTACAGGAGATACGGGCACAGGGTGGTTCCTGGGACTATGGAGGCATCCTGGGCCATGTGCTGAGGCTTAAAGCAGCCAGGACAAGCTGCCTGGGCAGCAGGGATCAGGGGGCACCCTTACATCAGAAGGGGCTGGCAGTGCTCACGAGGACACTGTGCTGAGCCATCAGGCACCAGCAGCTCCAGCAACAGTGGCCAGGGAAGGGACTATACCTGCCATGGGGAGCTGTGCCCGTGAGTTAGGGGGCAGCCACACCATCCCTATCCCACTGCCAGCAGCCCCCACACCACACAGATGGATGGCTCTGTGAGCCACCCAACAGCACTGCATGGCCCTGTGATGCCACAGGCATACTGAACCACCCAACCCTGACTGCAAGCAGCCCCAGGAATGGGCATGAAACATCTCAACCACTGAATGCACAGGAACCAGCCCCTACAGAGCATTTTCCCTGCAGATCCCAGCTGTGCCCAGTCAAGCAGTGAAGCCAGGACCTGACACAGCAACACTGGGCTTTTTCCTGCTCCTTTTGATGTGTCCCATGGGGACTCACTGGTACACGAGGTCAGCCACATCTCTGGGCACTTCCTCATTCACAGGCCCGTGCCCCGCTGGGTACACACAGCAAACGCTGTCCCTGGGAACAGCCTCATTTTGGGCAAAACTCTCTGTGTTTCTGGCCTGAGCCTTTAACCCAGGAGCATCTGGCAGCTGCTGCAGCACGCAAGACAGCTCAGCATTTTGTCGGACCAGGTTTTCCCATCTTTAGTCATGTTTGCGCTCCTCCAGCTCCACCAGCAAGGAGAAACATACCATGAAGAAAAGGCTACAAGAAATTACATTCTCCTTTTATTTACCTATGACCATGACAATGTATTTTTGCTAGCTGCAGAGATGCTTTGCACTGTAAACTGGGCGCCCGGACGCATGCAGTCCATCCGGCTCCGCCGCGTTCAGCAACAGCCCCGCGTCTCCAAACGCAGTGTTGTGATCCAGAGTAGGGAGAGCACCGATTCCCAGAGCTGCTTATCTCCATCAGCAAGCCCTCCGTCGTCAGGGCAGGATATGTACACCCAGGCTCCCCCAGCGCTGCTAGGGAACATGTTATCAGTTTGTCGTTTTTTTTTTTTTCCTTTTCTTTGTCAGATAAAACCTGCAAACTTAGAAAATGTTGCACGCACTCGTAAAAGAGAAGGCATCCACTCCACGGGAGAACTCCGCCATGACACGCACAACTATTGCACTTGTAAATTGGGAACGAGGTTTTCCTATAATACAGCGATGCGTCCAGCGAGAGGAGGTCAATAAATAAACCAGGAATGAGGGGAGCGTGAAGCTCCTGCGGGATGGCTGCCTTGGGGCAGAGATGCGCAGCAGCACCGCGGGGCTGGGTCGGGTCAGGAGTCCTTTGTCCAGAGATGACGCCCACATCAGTGCTGCCTGGGGAAAAGCAGAGCCCTGCGTAAAAGCCTTCCTCCTCCACGCTGGGTTGGGATCAAGCGTCGCCATCCAGCCACGTTTGCAGCTCAGGTTCACAGTAGTCATGCGGGAGCTCCCCTCCTGGCTGACATCTGCCCCACGGCGTCGTACCAGCGATGGCAGGACGGGGCGATGGAGCAGTACCAGCCTGCTTGGCACCAGTGCCCCCACCGCCCCACACCTGGGGGGCACGGCCGGCTGCAGTGAGGTCCCCACCGCAGGTTCCATGTAAACACGCAGCTCCCAGTCTGTCCCGTTGCCCTACAGCGGGGAGCTGGCTTTCTTCTGGTGGACGATGTCCAAGTACAAGTCAGAGCGGAGGAAGCGGGGGTACGAGTCCTTCTCCATCAGCCCATAAATCCTCTTCTGCGCGAGGTCGAAGCAGCCGCGGGTGATGTTCTGCAGGTTCTCCTTGGTGTGCTCCCGTGTGTAGGAATCCAGGTTCACCTGTGGGCAGAGAGAGCAGTGAGCGGCCCCACGGGCCCCAGGGCACAGAGCTGGCTCCAAGCGGGAGCCGGCCTCACCTCCTTGCAGGACTGGATGGCAATGTACTCCGCAAAGATCTTCTTGGCCTTGGAGACCATCTTGGACTGGGATTTGATCTTTTTGTACTCCTCGCATGCCAGCCAGAACTCCAGGTTCTCCTCACTGAACTCGGTGCGCAGGAAGGCCCTGAAGGCCGCGAGCCCATCTGTGGGGACAGACACAGCTCTACTCCTGGGCAGACACACACCTCTATCAAACCCCAAATCCCTGCCATCTCACTCCCTAAAAATCCCCTATGAACAGCAGCAGTGCAGGTGGCGATGCCTGGCCTGGCAGCACGAACATGAACCACGTGTGTGCTCAGTGCCCACTTCTCAGCCATCTGGGCTCTCAAGGGGGATCTCAGCATGGATTGGGAGCTTGGGATGGAGATGGGATCCCCACAGGGACATGTAGACAAGGAAGGGAGTGCTGCAAAGCTGCTCCTGCCCCACAGACACAAGGCAGGCAGGGTATCCTGCCTTTCCCTCCCCAGTGGAGCTCCCACAGTCCTGAGCTCTTCCTGGCTCCTGCAATAATGTTCCCCCCTGAATCTCCCCCCCAGCTTGGCAGAGGAAAAATGAGTGCAAGGAAAGTATCATAGAATCATATAATGGCCTGGGTTGTAAAGGACCTCAAAGATCATCCAGTTCCAACCCCCTGCCACAGGCAGGGTTACCAACCACCAGACCAGGCCACCCAGAGCCTGGGACGCTCCATTCCATCTCCATTCTCCCCAAGACACCAGAGCTGAGGAAATCACAGCGCTCCCCATGCACACACCTGGACATTCCTCAGTGGCAAAGGCAAAACAGAGGGGCAAACACTCACATTTGTGCAGCAGCAGCTTCTCCAGGGACTCCCCCCACTTGAGAGCTTCCTCAGGTGCAGGCCTGCAGGATGAGGGCATTTGTTAGCAGAGTGAAGCTGCAAAAGCCACAGCTGCTGCCTGCCACCATGCAGCTGCCCTGGAGGAAGAACGCTTCCAGCAGCAGCAGCATCACTGTGCACCCTGCAGTGGCTGCAGCACCACTGGCACCCGCAGTGCTGAGCTGGCTGTGCTGGAATGAATGCTCTGCGTTTAGGGTGGCAGGAAGAAAACATGAGGTAAGGGAGAGCCGTGCGTGCTGCAGCCTCTGAGCCAGCACTGGAAAAATCCCAGGCAGTGCCCAGGGCTGTGGGATTTCAGGTGCCCCAATGAAGCCGCAGGCTGGGCAGCGCTCGTCCCAGCTGCTGGAGCACCTCCAGGGCTGAGCAGTTTCCCAAAGCATCCTCTGTCCAGCTGAAGGTGTCATGTTGAAGCACTGGGGGAAGGCGGGGAAATTTCCAGTCCCAAGTGCCACCGGCACAGGGCAGGGAGCTCCCTGCAGCCCAGGGCAGCATTCAGACAAAAAAAGTATTTAACACAGCTCAGGCACCGTGAGCTTCTGCCCACAACCTCCCCAGCTGGGTGACCCAGCATCCCCGGAGGTGGCACCAAGCCTGGACAGAGCTCGTCCCCAAACGCCGTGCCCCCGGAGCCCCACACCGTCCACCCGCAGCACCTACTTGAGCGACTTGAGCACTTTGTCCAGCTTGCCGGAGGGGTTGGCTCCCGGAGACTCGTTCCTGCGCCGGAAAATCCCCAGCCGGTTCTTCATATCCTTGGCTCTGGAGGAGAAGATCAAAGTTTAGGGGCGGGCAGGAAGGGGAGCAGCTCCCAGAGGCGCGCGGTGCCACGGGGAGCCCTGTCCCGCTCATCGCCCATCACCTACTCCTTCATGGTGTGCCGGCGCTGCAGGCTGCCGTTGTGCGGCCGCTGCACACCCAGCAACATTTCGGCGTGAAACTCCAACGGCTGCGGTTTGGAGAGGTCACGAAAAAAGGGCATCGTTTGTCGGGGCAGCTCCAGCACAGCCGGCACGCCCGGCCCGGCGCTGCGCTCTGCGGCTCCGCACCGGGACGGCGCGGAAGTGGGAGGGCCAAACGGAGCTGCGTGGCGTGGATGAGGTGTGGGTGAGGAGGGCTGTGTGTCAGCCCAGCGCTGCTCGGGACGGCTCCGCCGTTGCTGGGGAAACTCGAGGAAAGGTGGAAAAAAGCATGGGAGAGGGCGGGGAGATGGGGCCTTTCAAGGGACTGCGGGGAAAGTCATCGCGGCGGGGATTTACGAGCGCTATTTATAGGGCGTTGGGGAATGCGGCGGTGCGGGGCTGCGACTCCTGTCCTGGGAGCGGCAGGGGTGGCAGCGTCAGATGTCAGTTTGGAGTGGGCACGGCCGTGAGGACATCGCGGCGAGATGGTTGAGACGCACTGGGTAACTCACAGCCACGGCACCGCACGGTGCCAACCCCCACGCGTCCCCATGCTGCCGTCCCTGTACGGACAGACAGATGTGCGTCCGTGCACGGCGCTCCCGCTGCCCCGGGAAGCTGCAGTCGGAAC